GCAATTTTTTTCTCGCTCTCCAGTGTTTTTTTAAGCCGCCGCATGTTTTTTTTTTTTACCGATAAACGTAGATCGTGTATCACAAAATATAATATCTTTTCCATATTTAAAAAACTGATATTGTGCCCCTAAAATTATGGAAGCTGTTCAGCATCCACGTGACGGTTTTTTAGGCATGCTTATAAATACTTTTTATATATTAGGTATATAAACAGTTTTTTTTTTGTTTGGATGGTAATTTTGTAATTACTTAAAAATCTGTAAGTAGAAGTAAAAATCTCCCTATATAAAGCTACTAGTGTTGAATGGCCCATCCTTCATAAGGCCGGCCCATATAGATCAATAAATAATAATACGGTTGGCTAATTTTATTTCGACTCGTTTAGGTTTAATATTTTATTTAGTTCGGACTATTTATAGTCCTCGTCTGTGGATAGACGAGGCTACAATTTGAATTGACACTGAACCGGTCCAATTCCTCGTCTGTGGTTAGACGAGGCTACAATTTGAATTGACACTGAACCGGTCCGATTCAAAATTGGTTTGTGATGACCAACAAGCAACAGTGTGATGTTGCTTTTGAAGATAACACGATGGATAAAGTTACGATATTTATATGTTCCTTCAAAATCGTTATGTGACTTGTTCAAGTTAACATGCTACATGATCACAAAATTTAGTCCACTTTGAAAGGTAAGTTCTATCCAACGGTCATTCGACCGGAGATGCTTTATGGATCCGAACGTTGGACTACTAAATATTCAAATTTGAATGAGGATACGTTATTTGATCGTACATGATGGCGGCATGTGATTCATTTAAGTGTTTAACCGATCCACTTAGTGGGATTTTAACGGCTTGTTGTTATTGATGATGATGATAATGTGTCCATTTTGAGTAGGGACTAAATATTTAATGCACACACACAAATGTTTATAAACCCTAATTTTATATTTAAATTTCAATGGTTGTGCTTAGATTGCATATAGTCATGTTTGGGTGAATAGTGAATTAAAGTTGATGTAATGTGTAAGAATAATTTAATGATATTATTTAACTATATTAAAAATACCGAGAATACAAAGATTGAGTTAAAATTGTATTAAAATTTGAGTATGAATTGAGTTATGTCAAATTAAATACATACACCTAAACACTACCTCGAATATATCCGCACAACATTCAAAAAGTTTAAAATTAGAGTGTTATGAAATTACATTTTTCATTCATAAAATTTACTAGTACAGATCCCGTGCGATGCACGGGGTGCATAAAATTAAGGTCATTTATCAAGTCTTATAATTATATAAATGAATAAAGAAAAATGTACGGGATATATATAGTATGTGACCTGTAATGGGCCAAAATGTGAACACGGGTGATGCACGGGATGCACAATTTTAAGGTCATTTATTAGTACAGAGTCGGAGCGATGCACGGGGTGCACAATTTTCTAGTATGTGTAATACAAACACATACCGTATGCACGGGACAAAAGCACTAAATGAGTTATTTCCACAGAGCTTTCCCGTTAAGTAGCTCCTGAACACGGGTGCACAATTTGTAGTACGTATTATAAAATACTAACAGATTTCCATACAATTAGATAATAAATAAAACCTTTTTTATTTTAGTAAAGATTTTACGTACTTTTTTTTACTTATCGGATGTTATGGATTTTTTTTTTGTTAAACTGATTTTATGGGATATAATACAAATACAATTAGAGGATTGAACAAAATCAGAATAGATTTATATACAATTAGATAATAAGAAAGAATTAGATAAGGAAAATAAGAAATTAGATAATGAATTTTGAATCTACCTTTTTTTAGTATAGACAGACTTTACGTATAAATTTTGACTTCACCGATTTTTATGAGATTGGTTTTGACAAAATCAAAGACGAACGATGAAGACTGTTTCTATTAACATTTACACTGTGTATTTAATATTTTTTTTGGCAAAATATTTTTTTTTTAAGTGTGATATATAAATATTAAAAATACTTAAAATATTTTATAACATCTATAAAAGCATTTAAAATATTCTATATTATTCACAAATAATGTTTGAAGCTACCTAAATTTTTCTAAACTACCCGTAAGGAAAATATGTATAAAAATTCTTCATTTAACCTCCATATATGTATATAGATAGAGAGACTAATGTGTAAAAAAATTTATACAAATAATATTTAAAAGTATCTAAAATATTAGTAATTAGACAGGTGAAATTTAGATTTTTAAAAAATCTATATAGATAAGGGATTTATAGTAGTAATTAGACTTTTATTTATTTACCTTTAAAGTTGTTACGATAGAGGGATGTGATTTTTTTGACTCGTGGAGATGGAATTTTATGAGTTGGGTTATGAAATTTTTCTTAAACTCATCCATATCTATGCGATGAGTTTTTTAAGCCGAGTATATAGATTTAAAATTGTAAAAAAAAAAACAAAAAAAAAATCATAAATCATTTGATTTGGTATTTTCAGAGAGTTTCATTAATTTAAAAGTGTAAAATAAATAAATAAAAAAAAGTACAACTGAAAGTTATAACCAATTGTATGAAGAATTAAACTAAATCCAATTTTGTAGGATGCATTAAATATTGATTAGATTTTATATGTAAAATAAAATAAAAAATAACTGGAATAGTTTTACGTGTTGCAATATTTTACATTTAAAAAAATTAAAAAATCTTCTTTTATGTATTGCATACCAACATTTTAAGAAATAGATGGATATTCCTAAATTAATATTGCATACCCAATATTTTAGGAACTAATTAAATGCTAATTTGATTTGCATACCAAAAATATTAGATGCATTAATTAAATGCTTGATAAAAATAGCAAATCATTAATTAGGATTGACTATTCTACATACTACATTAGTAAATAGTATATCTTTTAATATAAGTATAGATGTGATGAAGTGCTGCTTAGGAAACATTACAAAATGGAGTTTGAGTTACATTATAGTTATATTTGTTACCATAATATTTTGCTCTAATTTCCATTTAAAAATTTAATACTTCCCAGCTTAAAAATTGACATTAAGTCTTAAGATGAGTTAATGAATTCATGTTATACACCATTACGAATTTCAAGCGTAGGTGAATTTATTTTGTTATGTAAATTATAATTATTAACAAAAAAATACATAATTTTATATACAAAGTGTATTGTTTTGTATGAAAAATCATTTGAAAACATATGTATTTTCACAAATTCTACTATAACCGAGTTGACTAGTTATACATTACAATATAATTGTATTATATATATTATGAAATTGATACTTTTATTTACATTATAATATTTTAATTAAATATATAAAAGTATAGTTGTGTAACCATTTTTTTAAGGAAAATTTTAAGATCCCGTTACGGAACCATTCCTTGAGATTTGTACCCGTTAGTTCATGGTGTAACTGTTAGAGATAGTTGATCTGACGGTTACTAATTATGCCGTCGTAACGAGACCGTAGCATCGTTTTTTTTTTTTTTTTTTAATACATGGATATGAGAACTTATGCAATTAAAAACACCAATGATGATTCTCATTTTATTTTATTTTTTTTCCATTGGTAGGTGACGTGGTAGCCAACTACTGGCTAAGACGAGTCCCTACCTTAATGTCTCAAAAACTCGGTGTAGCTGATTTCTCCCCCAACAATCAAAATTAATCCAGAAAAACACTAAAACAAAGACTCCATTTTTATCGAGCTACTCCGCACTTTACAAAGCTCTCTCGTTCACGAAACCCCAAAAATCAATCTCGATTAATCCTCAAGAAAACAAAAAATTGTTCGAGAATGAGTGAATCCCATGAATCTCAATCGCTCCTCAGAAGATATTGGGAAGGGTACAAAGAGTTCTGGGCTGAGAGATTCCCATCTCTCGACAATTACTCGAAATTTATCGACTCCGGCAAGCCTCTGCCCCATTGGGATAGCTCTGTTGTCGAGGAGTTCGTCGCATCTGATCCCGTTCATGGCCCTACTGTAATTCGTTCGATTTTTTTTTTATTTTTTTTTTTGTGGTGATTGTTTATTTGTGTGAGGGTTTGGGATTCATTAATTCTTGTGGGTCTTCGTCTTGCTGAAAATTTCTGTTCTTTTCTCGATTTGTTTATTTAGTTGCCGAATCTCGATGAGAAAGTTTAATGGGCCATCTCTTATTTTGCTTGCCAATCTTTATTTTACTCTGTATTGTACCAAATGTAATCGATGAACGGCAATTGTGATAATTTTTATTTTTCGGCGATGTGATTTATTTTCGTTGCATTGTGTAATGAACTGGTGGCTTACCCAATGTTCTGTAGTATATAAAACTGTTCTTGCAATGTAATTTTAATATAAGTTTGGCTTTTGAAGGTTTCTTGCATTTAAATTGATGCCATTTCTCCTTTTTATCTTCTATATGTTTGTGAAGGAATAGAAGAGTCTGTTGTTTTATCTTTCTAATGCTTGATTGGCAAACTTTTCCTATCGGATATCGACATATCGTCACAATTCGTAACTCGTTTATCTGTTTTTTGTTCCTTTTTCAGCTGAAAGCCACAAGAGATGCAGCTAAGTTTGGTGTTATCGGAGCTGCTGTTGGAGCAGTTTCAACTGGTGGACTTGCTTGGAAGTGGTCAAAGAGTCCTCATGGTATGTTATGATAATTTGCGTCCTTTTGATTCAGCACTTAATTTTCTTGATAAAGGCAGCTTAATGGAAATTTTACTACTTTTTTTTTTTGTTATAAAATTGCAAACGTTTGTTCGCATAAGTGGTTAAATTTCTTTCGACAGGCTCCTATCAAATTCCAGCTAGTTGACTTTTCGGCTTTAGGCTATTTTGTAAAACAAATAACTGGTGATAACGTGCCATGATCTTTAATTTGGATGTTTTTTCGGAGTGTAACAATTTGGGAACGTTTCAGTTTAGAGAAGATTGTTTTGTATAATTTTTTGGAAATTTATTGTAAAATGTGTAGAAATCTAAATGGATATACGAAGAGAACTCTTGCAAGAAATGTATATACGAAGATTGTTTAATTGTTTGTATCATTTTTCCCACTTTAGCCACTTATTTAGATATATTAAGAGAACTCTTGCAAGAAATGGATATTCAGAACAAAAGGCACTCACTCGCACCATGTTTGTGTGTGTTTATAGCTCGCAAAAAGCTGGTGCTTGCTAACCTTAAGGTGAAAAAAAAAAAGTAAAAATGAATTGATATTTATTTGGTGGTCGCGTATCTTGGTACCCTTGCTTTCCTTACAACAGAATAATAATTTCAGATGATACTATACGACTGTTATTACTTTTTACCCTATTAGCTTAATTAAAATTTACTAGATAAGTAGTTTGTTCATTGATATTACGTTCTCTTGTTTGAACTCCAAAAAAAAACAAGGATTTTGAAGCACCGTAAACATAGATATGCACAACTGAATTGTGTAGGACAAAAAACACACACGCACTTAAGCTTAAATACAAAAACTAATCATGAGATTTTATCTGTTAACAAAAAATAAAAATAAAAATACCCAGCAATTTTCCATAATGGTACATAGTCCCACAATTGTTTCTCTTTTACGAACTGCACATAAGGGTCCTCAAAGTTCGCTTCTTTCATCTTCCCGAAAACTTTTAATCTACTATTTTTCTTTCTACATATCTTTTATCTGTTGAACAATAGCTGCTGAGAAAAATGTTTTTTCGCCCTAAAACTATCTTTAGCACTTCTAGTTGACTTATTTGGCCACATTAGATATTATGATTTTCTACTTGATAAATCTACGTATTTCGACAGGGGCCTTTCTGTCATTCGCGCTCGGGGGTGTCGTTGGGGCCACACTTGGACTGGAAGCGGCCGGCCATTGGTATCAACTGTATAGGTTAGATACAAAGGCTTCACAGGCAAAATTCTACGAGTGGCTGCAGAAAAGGGCTTGAATAAAAGATTACTCTTTGTGTTTGTTGGGCAATCATTTTTCATGATTACAATAATGAATAGCTCGAATATTCGAGAGGGGAAAAAATTTATAGCCCGATTTGTGGAATTTTTCCAGTGGATCTCTTGTGTTTGCTATTCGATGGTGTTCGGTTTGGACATGTTATGTTATGTTATGGTGCTTCTGATTTCTTTTAATTTGGTTCTGTGAATTGCAATGTGTGCTTGGGGGTTGAGTGTGTTGTAAAATGCCAAATCTTCTCATTTCAAAGCATTTGTGGCAAAAAATTACAATGTTCAGATAGAAGGGGCCTTACATTAAGGTGTGCTCTAAAACAATCACTAAACTCAATGTTGTGTATCTCAAAAAAAACTGATATATGATATAAAAAATTAGTAATATTTTTTTCCAAAGTATATGCACACCCACAAACGCATATATTGTGCAAGTATAAATGAAATTTAAGTTGGCCAAATGTTGATAATTTTGAGTTTTGTGAATAAAAGTTTATACAGAGAATAATAAAATAAATTAACTGATACATATAATTAAAGAGCACCAAATGTTGACAAGTTTTTCACTTTGAATTCCATTGCAAAGAAAAATTATGCCACGATATTTAAATAGAATTACAATGAACCAAAACTGGCTTGTAAGATGATTGAAGCACCAAAATATTCTACATATAAATAAAGTTCTACTATAAGTCTATAACGCATGGGGGGATATATTTTGTAGAAAACTTAAACATGGCCAGGGGTTAGCCCATCCTGGCCCGGAACCGGTCCACCCTAACCGATTTTTGAACCGGCCCAAAAACCTCTTAGGGGCCCGTCCCGGGTCACGTCGTACTCCTTTTTTACCCGCCCAGCCGGGCCTGGGTTTTCCGACTGGTCACACCTGTCATTTTATTTTTTTCATCTTTTAAACCGGCCGTTCATTCAATGAACGGGCCCTTATATATAGCCGCCGGGCCGGTTACGAGCCCAGCTTTTGAGGCCCACCGACCTGGCGGGCTGAGCTCTGAACCGGCCCGGGCTTTGGCCAAGTCTATCTTAAGCAACGAAAATGAAGAAAAAAAAAATTGACAAATAACCCACCAAACATTCTGCACGCAAACGTGTATTATATATATAGTAATAGAAAGAACAAACCCAAAACAGAGACACTTTCAAACAATTGTTCAGTTCAGAATGGGAGACTTAAATTGCTCCAATCCTTACTCCCAATTTGGTCTGATTAGAGATAATTTGCTACATAAAAACATTCATAAAAAA